AATTTTCTGGCGCGCTCCATTTTTGGAGAAGAAGGTGATTTGCAGTCACCCCTGTGAAAGGATTGAAGAAAACTGAAGGGAGCTTTTATTTTATAGCTCTGTTGTATTTTCTCAGTTTGTGTGCTTTTGTGGGAAAGATATCATTTTTAATAGCACAGCGAGTGGTGGGTGACGATAGGGACCGTTTTGAGCTTAGTGTCTGTTACAATTTTTAACTATAAAAAAAATATCTTAAACTCTTTATTTGTGCATAGCTCTTAAACAAAACGAGTTGCTTGCAAGGTCTCGATCGGTTAAAAACGGGAGTCCGGTTCAACTAGTATATAACAAATTGAGCTCGAGCTAAATTCAGCTTATTAATTAAGTTTATTTTGTTAACATTCAATCTCAACTTAACTCAACTAGACTCAGACTTGAAATATAGTATCAGTCGAGTTCCATTCGTTTACATCTTGCACTACAATATTTTTTTTTTAAAAAAATATTTTGATCGTGTATGATTATGATTCTACTTGAAATTTAGATTTACATTAAAAAAAACACTAAATTTAAGAAACTAATTTGAGCCAGTTGCAGGATATAATAATAAATTTGACTGGAAAAAAAATCACATGTTTATATTATCTTCAAATTCATAAGAATAATAATATGGTGGAATTAAATATTTCCACAAAACGTGGAGTTGAATATGTCCACAAATTATTTGTGTTTAAATTTTGGCAAAAAAGATGTTCAAACTGAATTATTTCCTTTTTTTTTTTGTTCTTTAAATATAAATTGTGAGATTACAATTATAGATTTATTAATACTACAAAACTATATTCACAATTTACCAGGTACACTCATGTCAAAATCTAGTATTTCGTGTTTGATGAATAACAAATATCCATATTCTGCAGATTTTTCACCAAAATCAAATAAAAACAAAAAAAAAAAATGAAAATGTTTTTTTTAATGGATTATTATGATTATAAAAAAAAAAAAATAGCAGCAATGTGGAGAATGTATGGAAGAGAATGACTGTGAAAGGATTAAGATTCTATGGATCTAAATTGAGGGACTATGTGAAAAATGGACCTTTTTTTTATTATT